GTGGAAGAAATAATAGAAACTTTTTACTTTGACCAGTTTTGGCTATATTACTTGGTTTATTCGATGTTTAATGTTTTTGTATAAAAGTCTAGCGCAATATATAACACACACTATATAAATCCATATTTCAAAGTTTGTACAAAAATTATAAAAATTCAACAAATTTTAACAAAATCCCCCAAAAATTTCAACCTTTTTAATCAGATTTTTTTGAAAAAATTTGGGTGTGCAGTTTCATAGCCCATTAAATTTTAGGAGGTAAAAGTGCAAACCGCAACACGCTAGAAAATCGCATTGACTTTTAATATTTTTTTTTTTTTTGGTTGACGCTGCTAGGCATTTCCTTCCATATAAAAAGAAATGTTGAGCATGGTCGAGAGCACAACACCGCCAGCCAAATAAATTACTAAAAATCAACGCGATTTGCTAGCGATTTGCGGTTTGCAGTTTTACCTACTAAAATTTAATGGGCTATAAAACTGCATACCCAGAATTTTTCAAAAAAAAAAATCTGATTGAAAAGTTTGAAACTTTTGGGGGACTTTGATAAAATTTGTTGAATTTTTATAATTTTTGTACAAACTTTGAAATGTGGATTTTTATGGTGTATGTTATATATTGCGCTAGACTTTTATACAAAAATATTAAACGTCGAGTAATATAGGCAAAACTGGTCAAAGTAAAAAGTTTCTATTATTTCTTCTACCACTGTATATGTACAGTATGTTTGATATTTCCAGGCCCACTTTATCATATTCCTGAAATACTGTAGAACTTTCATTGAAATATCGATTCATCGCCCATTTCGTTTTGCTGACGTAATTGCTGCTTAACACACTCTCTAAGATAGTGCTTATCATGTGCCAGGGCGCAAAACCGCATTATTGCTGTATTGACAATTTTTAAATAAAACGTTTTGCACTTCTTTTGACTCGCATTCGTAGAAAAAGGATTTCATATTGCTAACCTAATAAAACGTAATCTTATCGCAAACAACTGATCAATTAGAAGGTATCATATCAGTTTTGCTGCCTCTTCAAGTCCTATATTTTTCCTAAGTTTTGCTGGCAATTCATTGAGTTTGAAAAAATATAGATAAACAAACAGATGTAAATCTAAAAGATTTTGGTTAGAATGGAATGAAATTGAATTATAAGTACGTTATTTTAAGCTTACTGAATTTTCGGTAGTGTAATATATTTGACATTTGCTCTGTAACTTAAAATTTATATTTTTAGCGATAGACCCTTGGCCCAAAAACTATCTCCAAAAAACATTGGACATGTGAGGAAATCTACGAAACCCGACTTTTTCGGTGATCGGTTGTGTAGCCATGAAAACAGCTTATAGCCCTTTAGTTCGAATGCACGACTATCCGATCAGATGATATGCATTAAGGCGAAAGTTGATAGAAATATTCCAAGAAACTTTAAAAATTTAAACACATTTTTTTTTTTATTTTGTTCCAAAACTTTTTTCTGAAGTTAAAATGAGATATAATTTTTGTAAAAAAACATTACAATTAGGGATGAATCGATACAAGTAAATCCAAGTACATACTCGATACTTTTTACTGCGATAGAAGTAGGTATCGAAAAAAAGTTCTTGTATTTAAGCGCAGAACTGATTATGCTTCAGCATTTTCTTTGAAAAGCAATCCATTAGAGGAATGGGAAGATATGCGCGCTACAGTTCCGCAGCTTGCACTTTGCTGTACTAAAATTGAGCGGGCTTATAAAACTGCATACTAAACTGGAATTTTTGTGGGACCACTAAAAACGGGAAACACTGATGGTCATATGTACATACTACACTATTGTCCAACATTATATTTTTTTTTTGATTTTGTTTTGACCGGTGAATTCCGATAGAATTTTCGACACTGAATTCGATTACGGCCTCAGAATTTCTCTAACACATCAGGTTTTTGAGATACCTTATCTAAAGGGGCAAAAACCACGGTTTGCACATATTTGAGGTTATGTATAATAGCAAGCAAGTTTTTCACAGAATAATAGTCAAAGTATCTTTAAAAACAAATCTATCCCTTCCGGATACCAATGAGTTTGTCCAAATAACTTCTTGTTTTTTTTTTTTTTTTTTTTTTTAAAGAGATCCTTTAATTCTACGGGAGATAGTGTATAATAGTGTTATTGCTTCAAGTTGTCTAATAGGTGGCAAATACGGTGCGTCTGACTCGTGAGTCGGTTGGGATGTGTTTGTGAAAATAAATATGTGTTAGTTACACCGACATGGCTCCTGGCATGACTCTGAATGATTCAACTGTGTGTAGTCGAAGGGGAGTCAAAACGTATACAAATGACTCGCGAGTCAGACGCACTGTGTATGTCGCCTATAAGAAGCTGTCTGAAAAGATTAAAAATTGTGCTCCAAACTGAATTTTATTGTATGGAAAATCAAAGGTTTGTGGATTTATCGAAATATTTTATATAATGCTTTGATTTACAACTCCTTGGTTGCTTGAGCAATGCCCTGTATTCCGAAACCGTGTAAACGCCCTATAACTACAATCAATGTTAAACGTTTTTCGATATTTACTTACGTAACTCTCTCAAGAAATCATTTCCTGACCGCAGATAGTTTTATAAATTTCGGTGATTGAACTCGTAATTTAAACTATATATTATTGGTTTTTTATATTGCCAAGTGCAAAAGGAGTTGGTGTGATTAACTAGCTATACGGCGATTGGCGAAGTTTATTGGTCTCTGCCCAAACCGAAAACGGGTTATAGTACTAAATAAGAACGATTCAATTTTTAAACTTTCCGATTTTTTCAAACAGAAGTTTTCGAACGCTTAGACAGTTGTGCTATTATATAAACTCATTAGGAACGTTTAGATAAATATGTATCTGTCAGTAAAAAAAATTCCCTCTTTAATAGTTTTTTGCCCTTAAGTAGATAAATATGTATCTAGAATCCTACAAGAAATTACGAAGGACTTACTAATTCAAAATGGTATTCCTAAATACATACGTACAAAAACCATAATATCAACAACGTAGAAGAAATGCTCCCATTGCTCCCTTTTTTTTGTAAAAAAACGACGTAAATTAGTTTCAATTATTTTGCTTTAAATCAACTAAAATTTTTATTTATAATCATATGAATCTCAACAGAATTAAACAGTTTAATACGCTGATAATTAATTACACAGTTCGCAAAGAGTTATAACAGAAATAAAAGAAATATTCAACTGTCGTAAAATTCATATTGCATTTTGTTTTAAATAGAACTCATGGTCATTTTTAAATAAAATTAAAAGAGCGTACATATGTATGGTTTTCTCTGATATGTAATTGTCAATTTTTAAAAATTACTTTGGCAAATGAACAAAGTGAAAAAGAAACTTTTTATAAAATTAAGTGCATGTGCTTTAGAATACATATATTTTTTGCATACGAATTTAAATAAATTTCACCTTTTCAACCAATAATCATAAAAACTCAAGAAAAACTAAACAAAAATTAAAATTTTTTTAAACAAATTCAATAATTGGGAAATTAATTATTAACGTGTGTGTACGAATATGAAAAATTAAAAAAGTTGCAATTTATTTATTTATTTTTGGTTTTGTATAGAAAAGGCAAGTTAAGGCACTACATATTTGAAATCGTAGTCTTATTCATATATTTTATGTATAAGTAGCTTTAAAAAAGGTTTATAAACTGAAAAATTTATGAAAATTTATTTATGTCAATTTATAAAGCTCTTTAAAACTACTTTATTTTTTATGAATAAGGCCATACGACTTTAAGTTTATGCTTTTTTCTATACTTTTAAAATATTTTAGATATACATATAAATGTATGTATGTATATGTATTTTAAATCTCATTTCCAGCGTTATTTTATACATATGCATGAATCTCATTCTGCTGTGTGAATGTATTTCAAAAGATATATGCTTCTTTTTCATTTTTATTTATCATTGCATGGAATTTGAGTGTAATGCAAAAAAGAAGGCAACTTTAACTGATTTTTTTCTCCTTAGCTATTTTTGATAAGGCACATTTTACCTTTTTTATTTTCTTTTTTGCTATACTTATTTTATGTTAATGTACATAGTTATGTATTTATACACTTTGTAAAATCCATAAAAATACAACTTAGTAGCAGCACAAGTTTCATTTTTGTTTAATATTTTTTTTTTTGCTTTTAAATACGATAGGTAGTTAATTAACGTACATATGTATATAAAAATTATTTATGTATACAATTATTGTTATTGTTATCTTTAGTTTCAATTCCAATACATCCGTATCAATTACAGTATTTCCGTTTCCGTTCGCGCGGTGCAAGTCAGCAAAGTAATACGTCGTACCTCTAGTCCGCACACAACAAAGCAACCACCAAGGTGCTGAGTGTCCAAAGCAAAAGGACCTTTTTAGTGTCTAACGTTGTTGGTTCACATTGGACACACGTTTGCTTTGGCCATCGCTTAATTATCTGCACGTCATCGTCAAGTTCTTTTCTCTCTTTTCTATTATCTTCTTTTTAGTCAATTGTTTACTTTTCTATTTTTTTTCCAATCAACTCATGCATATCTGTATTGCAAAAATGAGGCGTTTTTGTTGTTTGTCAATATAAGTATGTAGATTTTTTTGTTGTTGCTGAGTTTGTTCACTTGTAGACAACAGCAAAATCAGGTTACTTGTGTGGGCGTTGGCGCCGCTGCGTTAATTTCACTATCAGCACTGCTGGCGCCGGCTCCACCAGCAGCATCATCAGTTGAGTTTACGTTTAGATTTGCGTTTGCGTTCACGTTCACGTCTTTGTCAACGTCAACGTCTACTACTACATTTAAATTTACATTATCACTAGTGTTAGTAACATTATTAATTGCATTTGCAGAAGTGATGTTGATATCATCAATGTTGGTAGTGATAGTGGGGATGGTGTTTCTTAAGAATGAAGACGACTCAGCGATAGAACAACTAAGCTTAGCTAATAAATCAATGATAGGTTTATCATGTTGCACCTCATCGTATTTCTTGTCAGCCTCCTCAGCAAGGAAACGAGCTTCCTTCAATTGATTCTCAAGTGCGTCCATGCGTTCTTCATCGGCAAGGGCGCGGTTCTCAAGGATCTTACGAGCGCTATTTTTTGTTATATTCGTAGTAAAGTGATTTTTAAAATATCGATTTCAATGCCCATAGGAGACCGTTCAAGCAACGGTGAGTCGAAAAAACGACGAGGATACAAATTTAGCATTTGTAGTGTTCAGATGTTGCCATCGATACGTCGAGCGTGTGCATGTTGGAGTAACGTTGATCGATTTTTTACGGTTTTTAGGAGCAGTACAACAGGAACGGTTTTAACATTGGTGTCGACATAAAAACAGTTGGATTGGCGCATACATTTCGTTCATAGTTGGTTTCGTTTGTTTATAGTTACAAAAATACATATTTTTTTGTTTGTACACATTTACACAGGAGTATTTAAGTGTTTGTTGTTATTTGTTGCAGTGTAGACAGATTTTATAGTTGCGTAGAGGGCCATTTCGTTGGATGTAGCGTTTAAACCAGTTTCATATTTGTCAGTTAATATATAAGTTTTGTAGAAAATAAACAAGAAATTTGTTTGGGATTTAGTTAGATGTAGCTTTTACAAGCAACTTATAAAATTGTTTAATTTTTTGAAGAATTCAAAAATGTCTTTAGTTTGCATTTTACTACTCAAACGTATTAGCTTAATTTAATTATTTTTCTACTGAGTTAAAATATTGATATTTATTACTGGTCAGCAGTAAACAGCTGATTTAAGTACAAGTTGAGGAAAGATTAACCATATTGGCGATGTTGCCAATGAAAAGAGATTTTATTGATTTTTTTTTATACTAAAAAGCAATAAAATTAATTATAAATGCAATCTAAAGAAGTTTTGGAATTTATAGTGAAAGTTAAAGGGTCATAAATACATATCTACATATTTTAAAAATAGTATAGTTTACAAAATTTTAAACATAAAGTTGTAATAACTAATAACTTAAAGCGTAATTACGATATGAACTATAATTAATAATTCATAAGTGCTTGAGATTTGTATTGTTTGTATTTAAACGCGAATCCTTCAGCAGCATCCTTCAGTTCGTAGAACTCCAGAAGACTCTTTCCAATCCAAACGCCGACCTATTTGCTTATTACTAAAACATATAAAATATTTAAAACTAATGAAAAAAAAACAATTTGCAATCATCAGTGAAAGCACTTTATACACGTCGTATAAAGAAGAGTGCGTCGGGGAAAAAAGAGCATTACCCACAGAATAATGAAAAAAAAAAATTAAGTTAAACGTAGGGAGCAACTTTTGTAAACCATTTGAAGTCTACTCGAAAAAGTATAAAAAACCTAATAACCCTAAGGCCCTATCTACATATATCGAAGCGCACGCTTACTTAGCGCGCAAAGATATTTCTTTTTTATTGTCTTTTTACTGAAATTTATACCTCTTCGTATTTTTTATCGGCCTCTTCGGCAATTAATTTTGCTTGCGCTAATTGGGTTTCCAAAATAGCTACTCTGTCGTCTTCCATATTTGTACGATTTTCAAGAGCTTTTCGTATCCTGCAGTTGGGGAATTTACAAGTGTAACAATTATTTTGCTTATATACGTAAATATAAATATGATACACGTGAGATAATAAGAGTACATATACTATGTACATATACGTTATCTCGTACAGATTAAGTAATTATGCTAAAAATAGTTATTGTAACTTTTTTTTTGATTCATAAATAATAAATATAAATATATTTTTTTTAATAATATTTAAAAAATATAAAAAATCCCTTGCTGCAATTCGCAGACAAAGGTATACTAACCGTTCGCTCTCATCGGCAGCTTGAGATGCTTCCGAAAGCTTGGCTGTGGCTGATCCCAAACGTTCCTCTGAACGTTCCAAGTCTTCTTCGAGCAATTGAATGCGACGGTTCAATGCTGCTACTTCTGATTCAGCCTGAAATTTCAAGTTAAACAGCACACATTGGAAATAGCATTTACTTATAAAAGATCTTATAAATCTTAAATTAAGGCTAGGCTTATTAGAAGCTTATACATAAGTATGTGCGTACATATTTTAATCTAAAGATATTCTCAAATACTCTTCAATATGCGCTTAAAACTACTATAAACATTTCTAAATTCCATGAACTATTGGTTTCTCAAGGGGTTCAAATTGTATGAAACTTCAAATTTATCTACAAAATTGAATTTGTAATATTCCTCAAAATCAAAATCTATTCAGAAAATTTTACTGAAAGGAACTGAATCTAAACTGCTGTAACTGTTTGTGGGTAAGCTCTCTTTATGTTCTATTAACTCTTAGTTTTTAGTAAACTCCTTGGATCCACTTCTGGCTGCTGATGGCCTGTAAAAATATTTAACTAACCATTGCTTTCTAAAATATGTGCAAATACAAGCTTAACTAAATAACTCTTTGCTAACCAAATAAAGGTATAGCAATTTTAGTGTTATTTATTTTCTGCGTTTTTTAGACGATCTCTTAATAGCCCAAAATGTACTTAGTTTCCTAAAATGACCTTCAGAAACAAACTTCTATATCAATTTACTACACTAGGCGCCTAAATGGTGAACGCTTTGCCAAACGCAACAAAAAACAAAACCCATCGCAACAACGGCATCAATTAAATTTGAATGACATCACTGCGCACGAGACACACGACCTGACAAATAATGCCATTGAGGGACAAAAATTTGTCAATCAATAATTTAGTTACAAAGCCCTAAGCAACAGTAGTGGTAAAATTTTAATATATTTACAACAAACAAATAAATAAATTTCGACTTGTAAGTTGTCACAAAAATACCGACAATTACATAATCAAATAATTAAAAGCCAAGCATTTAATTTTATTTGTTAGAAAAATACATAAGTAATTTAATTTCCTGCTCTAAAAATATGGTCACACATCAACTAGACGCATATTTCTGCTAAAATGGCGAGTTCAAATCGCAAGCTTTATATGGACGAGTGTGAAAACACAATTTATGTATGATTATATGTACATATATATGTGTATATGTATTCTAGTGCACGATTGGGCAACGAAAATCGACTAAAAAGGCAATGCTCATTGACCAGCACCGGCACCAACATCATTTACTCTACTACAATGCAGGCACCGGCTATGAAACCACCACCAAAATTCCTCAACAAGTTAGACAAGCAACGCTAAAATGTTAATATGCAACAGCAAAGAAACGACTACCGTATTTGAAATTACTTTAATGGGACTTTTGAGGCATCTAAAGTGAGGGAGAAATTTTTAGATACCGGCTAGACTAGTTGTTTTGTATGGATGGTAACAAAATAAAATTTACTACTCCGATATTTCGAAACAAAATATGTATGTAAAACGAGGAAAAGCAAAATAGTACAATTTTTTTTAGGAATATCTGCATATAGGTAACACATAACAGATGAAGTTATGTATGTAGGTACAAAAAAGTTAAAAAACAGAGAAAAACCACAAAGCGACACACACACTCCATGCACAAAATGTGATATGAATTTGAACGAAGGTAAGATTACGTCATCGCCACACCAATCACTTCCATACATATGTACATACATACATCAAACCAAGCAAAACCAAAGAATTCAACACAATATTCACGAATGCGGTTGTGTAAAAGGAGAAAGAATTTTAAAAAGTGATAAAAGGTTACTATTACCATAAAAAAGTCCAAAACACAAAAACCAATTATTATATAGAAAATGAGAAGATAAAGAACGTTAGAAGGCACATGTCTCTCAACTATGACAAGCAAGTATTCAAACGGTCATTGAATTGGACAACTTGCTAAAAGTGTTTAAAAATGCAAGAGCACACACAGCTTGGCTTCTTTATTTAAAAGATATACCGAAATGAGGCACAATACTATAACCGCATTGAGAGATTAACCTCATTTTGTGTGTACGAGTGGTGAATGTGGTAGAAGAATCACTTGAATAACGCAACTACTTACACAGCGTATGTATGAATATAACGCCAACTACGAATAGCTAAAAGCAAATTTACATTTCTTTTTATTAGCATTTTTCGCAAAATCTAACCTGTAATCTGACGATTTATACTTATTCAAAAGAGCATAAAATTTCTCCAAAGTGCCGCATACTGTGTCCTTTTTAAATTTTAGCGTGCCAAAGGTCGTAACTATGCAACGAAGGCATGTGTGATGTTGAAATTTTACAAGAACAATGCATCCACCTATATAATTTTTTGGACCATACATGAGCGGGGCCCGTTCGGATTTGACCGTACCTCCCATGTAAAGGATAGTGCCAGACGTTCATCATTCTTATATTTAAATTATTATCTTATCGGTATTCTTAATTAAAATGGTAAAATATTTTTGGCTGTTTTAAACTTAATTTTTTTTTCTCCGAATCCGATAACGCCACATTGGTTCCGCCGTTTTCTATTTCAAAAATCTGGCATAAGATTTGAAATTAGCGACCCCGAAACCAAAACCCCCAAAATTATAAAACTTGGTCGACATATAGGATCCGCCATTTTGAATTCAAAAAAATCTGACCCCCCCCCCCTCCCCCCCCCCCCCCATTTAAATGGAAAAAATTATAAAGTTTGGTCGCCATATTGGATCCGACCTCAAAAACTCCCAAACACTGAGTTTCAAATCACCTCGGTTACTTCTCGGCTTTTGGCCAGCAAATGAAAGTCGCCAGAGCACATTGTTTCTGGGACTTATAAGAGGGAAATGCATACAACCGATGTGCTTATAAGCGAGAAACACTGTACTGTCAATGTATCTTCCCACTTTAATCAAAATATGTTTCATTACAGCATTATCATATTTGTTGTCATAAGCTACTCTCATCGGATGCATGCCATGTTTATTGAAAGAAATTAGAGCTTCGATCGTACAGGATCTTAAAGTCGAAATGTTCCTTATTATTTTGCATATAAACACTAAGTCTGGGTGAGGATAGACTTGCAACATCTGCCCATTAAAAATTTTAATGTTTTCAAAATTATAACATTTTTCGAATATTTTTTGTTTATATGTACATATATAAGGAAACTTATAAATCTGTAATACATGTTTGAAACTTACTAAATAAATTAGAGGACATTTAAGCAAAACACGCATTAAGAATTAATTTAAAATAATTTCGCAAAAACAAGTACTGTTACTTAAAAGTATGCGAACAACTTCAGACTAAAAAATGTATATTTTTACGCGTCATAATAGCCATCTGAAATCGTTTAATTTTGGACTTTTGGAATGCTATAATTGAAAAGGGGCACAGTGTGTGTCGGTGTGGCTTTGATGCAGAAACAATTCTGAATTTTAAAACAAGCTTAAAGTAAAATTTGTGGTAGGCTTGATGACGATGAATACGGCAGCAACAGCAGCAGCAATCGGCTAGGTCAAAGCATTGCACTTACTACATATCGCTGTCATTAAAAGTTTTCGTCATCACTATTGTTAATTAATGTAGCGGCATTTGTTGTCGTTGCTCCATGAAATAACAAAAAAAAACTATCACATCGCGTTGTCAATGACAACAAACGACAGACCCAAATGCACTTACTATGCACATTAAATAATCGCTCGTTCCTCGTTGCAATGACAATGCCACTCGTTGAAATGTCCGCGAGGTGTGTACCGATAGACAAATGTGCAATATAAGACTCTGATAAAAAATGCAAAGCATTGATTCAATGCATAAAAAATGCATTTATCCAAGTTCATTTGCAATAAATTTTAGAAGTATGTATATGTGTGCGCGGGTGTGTTTGAGTTATTTGGAATGCTATGAATTTGAAAATGTAGTACATATTGCTTTGAGCACAGCAACACGTTGAGTGCTTTTAATCAGCCGATTGTTAGAATTTATAGATTACGAAACTTTTACATTGGGTCCTCATTAGTATGTATGCAATAGATAAAAACGTTTAAAGGACGCTTAAATTTCGTCATGAAAAGGTAGGAAAAGCTTATCGTGTAGGTTCTTAAAGTTCAAAACAATAAAGAAGTAGTCGTTAAACAAAGATGCTTAAACGGAAGCATTTACACTTGAATTTTTTTGAGTATGCAGTCTAATAGCGTCATGCAGCCAGAAAAAAAAATATTAAAACCAACGCGACTTTTCAGCAACTTAAAACTTGCATACTAAAATACATTCTGAAAAATCTGAATGAAAAGTCGACAATTTAGCTGAAACTTTGCAGATCTTTTATAATTTTTGCACAAAGTTTATATTTAGATTTATATGGGGTTAATAATAAACATTAAATAAACAAAATAAATATATCCAATATTGATCAACATATTGAGGATTTATTTAGCTTATCACAAGTGTATATATCTTTACTCCCACCGCGATATCGTTTTTGTTAATTGCATTTATGGTATTTGTGACCGACTTCTGTTGTTTGATGAAGATTACCAATTATTTAATTATTTTCGTTGTTTCGCAAAAATATGTAATTTAATTTTACCTAAAAGGCTGCATTACAAAAAATGAATACTCGTTCCAAACAACGCTAGAAAGCAAATGCAAAAGCGGAAACGGAAAGTGGGCAACCAAACATTCACCTATTTCAAATTAAATTAAAAATGATGTCACATTATGATGTGCTAATAAAATTTCGGAAACCGATTACAAACAGAAAAACAAATGCTTAGAAGAAAAAAACGTTTTAACGGTATAGTATATACACATTCAAATAAAACATACATACATATGCACAAATGTACATACCCAGCCAGCAAAATATCCGGAAAGGTATCCGAAAATGGAAACAATTTCGTATAAAAACCTGATGTTTCATCCGTTTTCCGATTCCGTTTTCGGACGTTTTTCAGATCAATTCTCCCACTAAAGTGTTCATCCCAAACGTATGTGCAGAAAACTATCGAAAATGGTTCCAAAACAGATGCGCTTTCGGCTGTTTTCCCGAAATT